ACCACCAACAACACAATGACCTCTGCCCACTTCAGAGCCATCATCGTCGGCGGCGGCCCCGTCGGCCTCACGGCTGCCCACGCGCTTTCACGAACCGGCATCGACTTTCTGGTGCTGGAACGCCGTCCGAACATGGTCGTCGACGCCGGATCCAACTTGGTCCTGCTCCCCATGGCTCTACGAACGCTGTATCAGCTGGGCCTGCGCAGCACTCTCGAGAGTGTCAGCTCGCCGCTCGGGACTATCCACCGCATCGACCACCACGGCCGTCCGCTTGGGGACATGAAGTGGTTTGAGTTTGATATGGAGAAGTAAGTAGAGCCGACCTCTCAGGTGCATCGGGTTTCTAATTGCCGTCACAGCTTCGGTGCCCATCCACGAGTCATTAGTCGACACCATCTCATGCAGTCACTGTACGAGGGTCTGCCGTCCGACGCCGAGGCCAAGATGCTGCCCAACAAAAAGGTATCCAGCATTCACAAAACCTCGGACGGCGTTCTCGTCAACTGTGCCGACGGCACTGCATACGCCGGATCCATCGTCATCGCTGCCGACGGCGCCCACAGCCTCATCAGGGACTGCATGCGCAACCTAGCCCTCGAAGCAGGTTCGCCAGACATCAATGGCGAGGAGCCATTCTTGACCACCTACAGAGCACTCTGGATCCGCTTTCCCGCCTCCATCTCGTCTGGTCTGCAGGCCGGCACCATATGCGAGACCCACGGCCGCAACCTCGCCACTCAGCTGTTCGCCGGCCAAGACACAGCCGTCATCGGCGTATACGAACGACTCGACAAGCCGACCCGGGAGCGCATTCGCTTCACCGAGTCGGACCAAGACGACTTGATCCAACGCTGGGGGGACTTGCCCCTGCTTCGAGATGGACAGCTCAGCTTGCGCGACGCATACAAGGCCAAGTTGCAGTCCGGACTCGTCAGTCTCGAAGAGGGAGTCGTTCAGCACTGGAGCTGGGACGGCCGCGTTGTTCTCGCAGGCGATGCCGCCCACAAGTTCACGCCCAGTACGGCCGCGGGCTGCAACAACGGCATCATAGATGTTGTGGCCCTCGCCAACGAGCTTCACAAGGCCATCGAGCAAGCTCGCACTTCGTCGCAAGACCCAGAAGCCGCACCTAGCACGTCGCAGCTCGCCTCGTCATTCCAGGCATACCAAGATGCGCGATACCTGGCCGTTACGGAAGGGCGGAAGCTTGCAGGAAACGTCACGGCTATGGCGACCTGGCAGACTGGCGTGCACAAGTTTCTGGATCGCTTCGTATTCTCTTTACAGTCGTTGCAGCGATTCATGTCCAACTATTCAGCATCCAGGATCGCGCAGATGCCTGTATTCAACTTTTTAGAGGGCGAGGAATAGATAACCGGCAGGGTGCCATAGGTAGTACCTATCACACCCAAAGTCAACTAAGCCAGAAAGGAACCACTTCTCTTAAGTTTTTATTGTATTGTATTATATTATATTATAGATGGATTGTTGGATTGTTTGGTAGAGGGTTTTAGACTGCCATTTTCCGATAGGGGCTGTTCGATAGATTATATACAGGTTCTCAATTACTTTTATTTGCTGCCTTGCGCAGATGTCTTTAAGTGACACAGCCAAATGGTAAGCTTCGGAACACCTCAAAGCCTTCTGGTGTCAAATATGAGATCCAGCTTTGGACAAACAAGGGTGAATCTATCCAACTTCCCATCAATAAAAGCCTCTGGGGTCTGTCCCAGCGCGAAGCTGACATCGTACTTGTGTACAATACAGTAAATTTAAATATTAGGTTCCTTTATTGAGGGTTCTTATTAAAATATAAATAATTATTTATATTTAAAAATATAATAGTATTTTAATATAGCCAAGTTATTTATATTTTAATCTGTTTATATTTTTATTATCTTCTATTAAATTTATTACAAAAATCTCATAAAATATACTTTAAGTTTTTAAAAATAAAAATAAAAAAATCTAGAAATATGTCTATTACTATTAAGAAATAACACTTATATAATTAACTTTATTACTTTAGCTCTTTAATTTCACAAATTTACCTCAGTCTAACTAGTTTCTTAAAACCCCTCTTTAACTATTACTTTTCCCGTAGCAACTCGTAATATTCTTATACAGCCATTTTGTTTTCCATGTTTTATTCTTCCATACACCTTCCCTTTTCTCATTCAGTCCCGCTAGCCAACCCTGAAAGGTCTCCTTACCAGATTCTATTCCAGGACCTGGAAACATTCTCTTAACTTTCTCGTCCCAGTCGTCGGCAGGAGCTTCGATGTGGATGTGATGTGGCTTGCACAGGCTCCAGTCCGACGCATTTTGATGTTTCAGCTCGTGCAGCGCGGAATGGCAAGAATTGCAGAGCACCGTTTTTGTGCAATACAAGCATAGGAATGCCCTTTCTGTTGCAAGATTATTCTGGTCGAGTGATTTGCCATATGTGCTGCAGGGGACACGCAACTGCGCGACTCTGGGCTCACCCTTTCGATCCTTTCTCGATTTTCTTGTTGAACTCCCTCTGTTGGCGTTTTTCACCTGTCTATCCTGATCTGGCGGGCTCCCATCGAGTCTGTAGAACTGGCATGAGGCTGCAACCCGTGCATCCTTATCCAGCCCCAAGAGCGAGAGCAGCTTGGCAAGCACCTGCAAGCTCGGTTTGTCGTTGGCGACGTCGTCATCTGTCAAGGCTTTGAAGCAAGCCAGGAAGATTGCGTCGGTGCGGGTCTTGAACGCCGCCGTAGGTCCCAGGTCGCGATCCATGATGGCCAAAGGAATGCTGATAAACGACAGCTCGGCCTGGAAATTCGGGACTTGACCCTGGACCTTCTGCAGAAGCTTCTTCATCTTGCCCCGTGTCATCTCTTTGACGGTCAACACTTCGTCTGCGTCGCCGGTCGAGGCGAGACGGAATTCTTCCAGGAGCATATCTGCCAGCTGCCAGCTGGCCCCGATGACGGCCTCGATGTCGCCCCACACTCTTGGTTTGAGTGCCGCTTCCAGGTGTTTCTGCACGTCTCGGTGCTTCTGCTCATATTCACCAGAACGTCGAATACACGCCGCCCATGAAACACGTATTGAGTTCAGCGGCAGAGTTGCTGTGTCGTTTTCGGAAACTCGGATCGCCTCTTTGTACTTCTCCATTAGGCCTGCGCACTTTTCGGATTGGTTTGCAGCGAGTTGAAGTAACTCGTGCGTCTCTGCCGAGCAGTTCGTGGCCAGTTGCTTCTCGGGAACGGCTTCCAGAAGATCACCAGCGATTAGATTCCACTTTTCCCGTGTAGCGAGTGCCAAGATCATGTCGTCAAAATAAATGAGTGTCCTGCGCTTAGGTCCGATTGTGTCCCCAATACGTTTGATGCTGCTCTGGAACTCTTTCGTCATATTCAGATCGGCTTCAATCCCGCACATATTGGCTTCCATCAATGCTTTTAGCGCATATATCATGTTTAACTTCTCTCCTCGCTCCTTGTCGTATGTGGGCTTCTTGTCATCCATGGGTTCCTTGTGAATGTCCTCATGAACTTTGATTGCCTTTTGGAAGGCTCCCAGAGCGTTTTTGAATTCTTTGTTGGCGTCCTCGGGATTTTCCTTCTTCTCCGCCCAGCCAAAGTAGATGCGTCCCATCCTGTTGTGCATTTCGAACTCCACATCTCTGAGACATCGCTCTTCATCCTTATCAACTTTCGTTCCATCGTCAACATGTACCAGTTCCGATCCCTTTCGAACGTCGTCAGTGGCTTTTTGGTAGTGATGGTCGAACCGGAAGGCCATAGAACGGCCTAAGAGCCGCATTGCTTTCCCTCTTTTTCTTTCCCTATCGGCTTTCGTGTCTGACTTCCCGTCTCTATTTCTACTCTCATCAAATGCCTCGGAGACGAATATAATTTGCTCGCGAATTCTTTCCAAGTTGCTCTCCTCAGAACCATCAAAGTCAGTCTCCTTGATGCGCTTCCATTCTTCAGCTGCTTCTTTTTTTGTGGCTTTCAAAGCGAGGATTTGGTGTGCCAGTCGAAAGGAGGTATATGCCTCGCGGGGAGTGTTGCAAGTCCACCAGATGTTGACATGCCTTGAAGCAAGATATGTATGGAAATTCGGAATGTGCTTCGTTAAGCTTTGTTGTGGATCTTCACTCTGCTGGGTTTCTCTCCACTTGAGCTTCCTTTCTCCTGCCTTTTGTAGAAAGCTATTGACAATTTTCAAGCTGGATTTTCCGAAAATCGAAGGCTTGGAAGCCTGGTCGGCATCAATCGCATTTTGCACCGCATTTTGCACCCGCCTTAGTGCCTGGTTATTGTCGAGAAGTTGGATTGTCGTGCAGACAACAATTGATATTTCCGTATCGTTATATAGCGTTTCAGCCCCAAGGCTTTCCAAGTGCTCGAGCCAGAACGATGACGCGTATGAAATCAGCTCGTAATGGGCGGAGGTTTCTTCATCCTCCATAGTAAGAATGCTCCCGACCATTTTGAACATCAGCACGCGGGAGTCGTAGTTGAGATCGTTGTCTGGCATCGACTTTGCGTACTTGTGTCAATAGAAAGTCCGAAGAGATGCGGCTGAGAAACCAAGCAAGCTACTTTCGTCATTGTCCTCGTCCTCCAAGACTTGATCGGTGTGCCTGTAGTCTCGGCGGACGTCTGCAGTGAGGGAGAAAATTCTGTACATAGCTGTTACGTTTTGTCCAGTTTATTAGCACTATCTTGAAGATTTTCACTCACTGAGATAATAAGCTGTTCAATTCCTTCTCGATGTCGAGATCGGCCCCGCCTTCTGCCTTCAGTATCTCTGGCCATTCAGAAACCAGCTTCACGAGTCGTTTCGCTGCTCCGAGGGTAATGAGACCTTTCGACCACGCCAGCCACGTCCAGACGCACTGGAGCTGTTGGTTCCGTCTTTTTAGTTTCGTGATGCACGCCGAAAACACAGCTTTCTGCGCATCATCGGTATCTTTTGGGACATTGTCGTCGACAAGCTGTAGGTTTTCGCTGTCACTAAAACGTCGGAGGGCGTCAAGAACGTAGAGAAAGGCTGCTCAACGTCAGTAAGGGAAGGTTAGATGACTCAGATAAGAAAACGGTGGGGAGACGCACTGTCGGCCTTGCTGCAAATGATATCTACAATTTTGTCTTGGCGCGCCTCTCTGCGCCGCTGGAGATTGGGGAAAGTCTGTAAACGAGCCTTGGAGAAGAGTCGCAGGTCTTGTCTAAGTTCAGCCTCGGTCCTTTTGATGACGGACCCTTCTTTGAACAGGTCTGTCTTCTGGGTAACAAGGACGAATCGACTTTGCGGATAGTCCTTAGAAATCGTCTGTAAGTTCTTAGGAAACTTCTCACAATGGTCGATGCCATCGAGAACCAGATACAGTCTTATTTTCTTGAAAACGGCCTTTTCTAGAGATGTCCCATCCCTACTGACCGAGAGTTCCATAAGCTTCCTTCTGAAGCTCTCGTCTTCTTCGGCGATCTGAATAGCACAGAATTTGATCATATCTTAAAATGACCATGTATTTCCATGATCGTCACTGAAGCTGAAGTAGACCACATAGGACCTGGAAATATCGTCCTGGAGCCTGTGCTTTAAGAGGCCGAAGATGTAGAATGCCAACATGCTCCGTCCCGTTCCAGGCTTGCCGGTGATGCAGACTGTGCGAACAATATTTTGAGGGTCGAATTTCAACAATGCACTCAAATGCTCATTTCCATCAACCCACACGCAGGTTCCGGGGACATAGGAGCGTTCCATCTCGTTCAGTCGATGCCTAGGAGACACAGGAGCCCCGGTTGACAGCCAGTCCAGAACGCTTTCGAGGACTCTGAAGTTGCGACTTGCCGAGTCAGTCCCACTGTTGGACCACCGCTGAGCACTGGCACGCATTGTGTGCTCTGAATATCCCCGAATTTCTGGAGGTCGTGTCATTGCCGTTCTCTGCATGTCCACCAAGTCTGACAACCTGCCGTATATCATGTGCGTCACACCACTCAGTTCCTTCAAGTCTCTGCTGGATTCAGTCTGTGCCAAGCGTGGCTACAATAACACTGCACTCGAGATCGTTGATTCGGTGGTTGAACTCGGTGTATGAGTCCGCAAGCCCTCCATCCCTTCCAAATATGCCCTTACCAAAGGCAATGAATCTGCCCTTCCTGACATAGTCTTCGGTGTGTTTGATGATGTTCAGAATTGCTACGAAGACTCTAGTGAGCGGGGCTTGAAAGGCGTGCTGCTGGGGCATCCTTTTCTCCAGCAAAGCGAGTCTCTCAAAGAAGAATTGTATAGTCTGGTAGAAGGTCTCGATCTGATCCAGCTTGTCCGTCACACCTCCGCAGCCTCCTAAGACAAGAGTGAGTGCTTGCGAAATAGCGGAGGCGGGCGGATAGATGTTGCTCAAAAGGTTGCCGATGGGCTGGACAGCAACCTGGGCTGCCTGGCAGGCTGCTCCCAGCGATGTTCGGATTCGATCCACCAAACCACCGTCATGTCGCTGGACTTCGAATGACTTCAGCGCACTGTCTCGCTCCTTGGCCAAGTCGTCTGCCTTGCTATGATTTGCTTTTATCTGATGCTCGGGTTTCTTGCCAACGTTGTACTCAACCACCGCTGAGTTCCAGAGGCGGGCGGGCTCGACGTCACCTGTAGGATTTGAGCTCATTGTTCGACTGGCCTACAATCCGAAGCTGCAACAGTAGCTTTTGTGATATTCGGAACCACTGGGGTGAGGGCAAAAGGTAGAGGAGCGAGAATGGCGTGGATACGAGGAAGCATATGGAGAGATACGTCTTCTTTACGTTCCTCTGGTCGAGAGCTGGCTTAAGGCCAAGAGTCGACGGCGGCAACCCTTATCATCCTCTTCCGTCGATCTACTCTGTGGCTTGCATGATCCTGGTGGGCAGGGATTTGCTGCCCTTTCATGGTTGGATGGAGGCAATTCGTCATCGCAATATTCCAAGGGACAGACATTGGCTGGGGAACTACCGACATGCCGCCCAACCCGCGAACATTCATTTCAGCTCAGTGAAATGAGAAGGGCTGTCATGGGTCTGCAGGTCCGCTTACCCCGCCACAGTTTTGTACCATACGTTCGTACTAGGCTACGTACATATTCTAACCCGTAATGTGACATTATCTCCAACTTTCATTTGTACTGTTCGCCCAATGCAGAGCCTAGCGAAAATGAGGCGTGATAGTGTGCGTAACTCCGCTTTCAACCACGTCCTGTGGTCAGACCTAGACCATAGCCGGCAGCTCTCATTCGTTCATATACAGTCGATACGCGAAAGACATGCCAGTCACATATGGCGTCAAGCGATCTCGGGCAGCTAAAGCGCGAGAAATCGTCAGAGATATGCTAATCGCCTTCTCCGAGAGAACCTTGCCCGTCTCCACAAGAAGATCTAATCATGCTCGCCTACCGAGCGGGTGACACAGAGTCTGACAAGCATTATGGAAGCAATCCGACAGAATGCGTTAATTTCCTCCATAACCCCGCACAAGTAGAAGGACATTGCCCAGTTATCCGACCCCCCACCTCGACTGCCCAGCCGTTGGATGGTTTGCCTGTAAGCTGTCCAGTCAACATGATGTGATACTTAGTCCAGCGGTTGAGGGATTTAACGCTCGTCAACCCATTGGTCACCCGCTTGCAGCTTGTCTCTATACCCCATATCCGTGTTAGGTGGGAGCCTGGGAGGTCTGAGATGTGGCCGCTTTAACCCGAGCTTACCGTGGCGTACCTTGCGCATCGAGGTCATCACTTGGCATGTTTTCAGGCGTCCAATAAACATGACACGCCCGGCCATATGGCGAAACAAGTCAGCAGCGCCATGCTGACAGTCACCTCCATCAGAATGTTCCGCTATCACGATGATGGAGATTTTGGTTACGTGGAAAGATGGCATAAATTACAGTTATCACATTCGGACGGACTATTGAATAAGTCCCAGACCCGGAAGCTTGAGGAAATCCCAATCAACGGGCAGATTATGTAGCAAATTACCGGTCAGTCATGCTTTTGTGCGTTAATTTTGTCGTGCGTCATTGTACCAGGAAAGATGCGAGGATCATTGCGCACCCAAGCTTGGCATCATTCATTGCGCTCGTTGGCAAGGTCTTGCGACATAGCCGAGATCCTCCAGCACGTCCAGACCGCGGCCGCACACAGGACATCCAGAAAGACATCATGATCACTAAGAACTCCGTCAGATTGGACAATGATCCGCTAAACGCAGCTAACTTCAGCGGAGGAAGAACTGCCACTGCGTCTTGGGTGGCACAGCCAAAGGCTTCCTGCCTCTCCCTCCGCCAGCACCCCAAGGCATGCCCGCTAGAGCTATCTTGATCACCACGCCTCAATCGTGACTCTACTATTACCAGACTTGACAACCCACCCCATTGCTCAGATCGCTTGCCCTGATACACTCGGTACAAGCCCGAGTGCTGTCTGACCTACCCTATACCTTAGCACAGATCGCCCGACCGTCACACTTTTGCACCTATGTGCCTCCTTTGTTTTTCTAAGCATAGGGTAGGTTGGTTAAGAGGGCATAGGCCAATGGGGGGATACTATCTAAACCTAATTCGACCTTCGGTCTCGTTTCACTAGAATGGAACGTCATCCGCTACCCGACGGGGGTCTGCGCGAGCGCGGGAAAAGTCTCGTTTTGGCAAAACGAGGGCCTGGCATAAGGGGTAGGTAGCATGAGAGGGCATGACCCCGACAAGCCCTGGGCAATCCACTCCGGCGATCCTTACATGGGGTATGTCAAGCTTGAACAGACTTCAAGTCTTACCTCGGGTAAGATAGAGACCACCACCAAAATCTTCTTGCCGAAAAGCTCGGCACTTCTATTGAGAGAATTCTTCAGGAATTTCTTGGGAAACTCTGGTACATCAAGCTTTCGTTGACTGAGCCGCAAATTCGTCGTAGGAAGAACAGCGCTGTTCCCAGTTTTGTCATACCCCCGGAACACGAGAGCGAGTTTCCGGAAGTCTTGACTATACACGCATTCTATGAAGGGAGTGTGAGCGACAATCAGGGCAGTTCTTAGATTGAGTGATTCATACGAGAAGCCTGAAATACTTTGCTGGACCGGATCTGGTTCGATGTTGTTCGAAGTATCTTGTTGCACTTATCGATAGACCCATCGCGGTCAAACATCCGTTGGAATGTATTAGGGCTGGCGACCGTTCTAAAATAGAAAGGGAGTCAGCCTATAGCACAGTACATCATCTAACCCAGCGCTCTACAATCCAGTATGTTCTATCCGCTGGACATATTTTCATATCCATAAAGCCAATCCTAAGCTGTACAAACATATAGTTGTCTATGACGCGACGATCAGAGGCTCTCGTCAGCTAGAACACAGCTTCAAAAAGAAACCATGATGTGATTGGTGTTTTTATGCAGAATGAACTTCATTCATATACGTAAACTAACATTGTGAAATACACAGCAAGATCTGACAGGTATCAGTATATTTTCTATATTACAGGGGATACATCTTAGTAATTTTCTCAGTAACAATCCGAGCAGACTGAGCGCAGGCAGCAGTACCTCCAGAAGCCCAAGGCTTCACACCATCCCCAACGTTAAAAAGATTTGCTACAGGAGTGGTTTGAGACTCATCGAAACCGGACACAGCACGTTGCGCAGGCCACTCATGGGCAGTGACATCGACAGCCAAGATTTTGGCCTCATCAAAGCCCGGGAATTGATCACGTAAATCCTCGAAGAGCAATGCTGTTTCCTTCTCCACATCGAACTGGCCTCTCGCAGGAATGGGGACGGAAGCACCGCAATACAGATACCATCCCTTCGGAGCACGCTGAAGCTCAGGAGCACTGAAGTTTCCTGCGTAGACCATGCGGCGAGCTTTTCCAATGAGAGCGAGGAAAGGAAACGAAGCGAGAGGTTTTTGACTGGCAAAGTGAACGGTGATGATGGCTGCAGGGTCATTCCAACACTCTATCCTGTCGGCATAGCCTTTGGGAAAGTTGTCGCGGCTGGCGAGCTGAACCGTCCCCAGAGGCCCGATGTTACTCACGGTCACTTTGGAGGAGACCTGGACTTGTGACCCGTCCTTTCGCTGGATTAGGGCACCCGTCACCAGACCGTCGGGTCCAAAGATGAGCTTCGATGCTGTGGAATTGAGCCAGACTTGACCACCGGTGCTCTCGACATAGTTGGCCAAAGGTTTCCATATTTCGATTGTCCCGCCCGGGGGGAAACCAATTTTTTTGAAGGATGTATCCTTGGCGAAATAATGAAGCAAGACTTCGGCTGGAATATCGTCGCCTCTGGCAGCAAACATGGCGCCGAGGACGTTGTCGACAATGCCATGGATGGTTGAGCTGCGTGTGAATTTGTTGAGCCACGACCGAGTTGATTCGTCCTTTTTCGGGCGCAGGAAGGGGAGCATCCGAGACATCGAGGCCATGGCTATGGGGGCGATATTACGGAGAGCACCAACCGGGCCATCAGCGAGACTAAGATCGCGTCCGCCGAAACGCAGGACTGTGGAGGCCCTTTCGGTTTCATGCAGTCGCAGAGAGAGCCCGACATCGTCGTACGTCTTGGCCACTGCCCCGTCTAACTCGATGGCGAAAGCTCCCGTGTTGATGAGAAACCCGTCAACCAGGCGCGTAGATGCGCGGCCCCCGATGCGTTCTTTCGCTTCCACCATCAGAGTGCGATAGCCATTTTTGGCCAGTAGAGAAGCAGCTGTCACGCCGCCGGCGCCGGCTCCGACAACCAGGGCGTCAAACTCGGTATCGGATGCAGCGGGCGTTGGAGCAGGCGTTGTAGGATATGTGAGGGAGCATGATTTTGTGAATCGCCGTGCCTGGGTCAACGGTTGACCGAGGCAGATTCGGGGCGAGGCGTACAGCGCTCGCTGTGCTGGGAGGGTCAGTACTATCGGCATGGCATGGGGAACTAAAGAGAGGAACGATGAGAAGAGTGGCTCGGATTTCGTCGACGGGGGAGGGCCGTTGCGTGAATGAATTTGTCTTTCGCAGACGAACTAGTCCGTGTGGTCATACCCAAGCCCGAAGCCGACAACGGCTGTGACACCCCGAGCCCGAAGCCGACGATGGCTCGCGGCGTGGCCAGGCTACCTTGCCAAAAGGGCCATTTGCGGAGGGAGTACGGATACCAACCCCGAGTCCACTGTTTGAGTCTGAATCAGGTAGTTCGGCACCGGTGCCCCCTATCGTCCATAGCCGAGCAGTCCGTCTTACGGCTTGCCGACAGTTGCTCCGTGATAGCCTGCCGGAATATCCGGCCCATGCGCTATTGATGCAACCCAATTGGCATTATATAAGTTCAATTGCTTGTACTGAATATTGCGTAGTCTCATAGCACCGCGTTTCTGATGAAGGGGCCATTGAGAAGAGTAGCAGTGATCGGCGGCGGACCAGCTGGTTGTACGGCCGCCTATACCCTTCGCAAACAAGGGTGCCATGTGCACCTCTTCGAGCGCAGCGATCGAATCGGCGGGCGCACCAGCCAGATCCGAAAAGAAGGCTTCAATCTTGGGACGGGCGCGCTGTTCCTGATGGGAGGCATCTATCCTCGCACCAATGCGATCCTGAAAGAACTTGGCCATGACAAGGACTTGGTGCCCTGGACAGCCACCACGCATGTCGTGGACTGGGACCGCCAGCGCTATACCGCGCGCTTCGACAAGGTCACGAGCTTCATCAAGATGCCGGTGTTTAATCTCTTCGATCGGCTAAAGATGGCAGTCGGCATCATCAAGCAGTTGTTTTCACCCGGCCCAAAGTCGCTCTTCGACGGTGCCGAGCTTGCCTTGTACGACCATGGTGAGACGCTGGACATTTGGTCCGACCGTGTGCTCGGGAAGAAGGGCACTAATTATTTGACTTTGCCGTATATGGGCTTCCTGTATGCGGTTCCTCTGGAGTGGCAATCAACCCCGTTGTTCCTAGGTGTCGTTCAGCAGTTCTACAAGTTGTCGCTGCAGGTGCCGCCCGAGGGCGTCGGGCAGTTCAGTGAATGGCTTGTCGAGGGCACGCCCGGTCTTGATCTCCACCTGTCCTGCCCGGCCGAGGCCGTTCGCATCCGCAACGGCGGCGGCTACACGGTCGACGCTGGCGACAGATCCTATGATGTGGATGCCGTGGTGATGGCGCCCGAGCCCGGAGTGGCCGCGGATCTCCTTCAGGATATTATCAACCCGGATTCGGTAGCCAAGCTTCGAAACTGCCGCTACTCCGAATACGCTCACGTCCAGCTCTGCTACAAGAAAAACCCCTGGCCGAAATTTCCGGCCTCCGTTGCGTTACCTGCGACGGACCTGAGGAATTGGGGCGCCTGCGTGCTGCTGAGCCGTCGTCATCCCAACTCGGTCCCCCCCGGCGGCGAAGCGGTTGGCGTGTACTTCTACACGCCGCCGTTGGCGAATATGACCGACGAGGACATCAAGCGCGAAGCGCTAATGGCCGTTACTGAAGTTTTCGGTGCCGCCCCCGAACCTGACTTCATCGAGATGTTCCACTATAAGCGTGGGCTTTCGCTTTCACCGCCAGGCCACTTCGCCACATTGGACTCACTGCATGCCGAAATGCCCGAGGGTGTTGTTCTCGCGGGCGACTACTTCGCCCATGCGGGCGTGGAAGCGGCCGTGCTCAGCGGCGAGCGGGCGGCAAACCGGCTGTTGGGGAATGGTATGTAACAAACTGGTTGTATGTTATCATCTTGTCACACCGGGGTGCGTTTACAGTATGAATAGGTCGTCAATTATTATAGTAAACAGCAGTTAAATATTGTTAATTTTCTAAAAGTAACTTAACTAACTAAGAAGCAATCCATAAGAAAAAGGAGATTTCATATTTCAAAGAGCATTGTTAAAATCACTGTTTAGGCTACTATTTCATATTCTATATAGTTACATTCTTATATAAATGTGATGAGGGACTTAACTAATGTCGGATAACGTACGGCATATTCAATCCAGGGATTAATACTCAACAGGGTGTAGATCCTGAATCTGTTAATTGTCTTGATCTAGGATGCCTCCAGCCCTCTCTTTTTTCAAGAGGGGTTTTATATTATTATACTCCCTCTCTATAATCAAGGTCAGGATATCAATCTATTGGAGGTTTCGTAATACAGGGTTACAATCCAACAACTAATTAATTAATCTAGTGCTTAGTTATATATTATACCCTCTCTAGCATCTAACCTCCTCGGCTTAATCTGTTATAGCCCAGGTCCTTTAGTGAGGATGGCTGACAGGAGATGGGAGTATTTTATCCCAGTCGTACTCCACCGGGGGCAAGAAAACAGCCAAACCTGAAGGGCTTCTAGTCGAAGGCTGGGCAACCTCGGCTTCGGTATGCATAATAACCTCATCGAGGGAATAGATGAAAATTTGACGATAAGAGCCTGTATCCGATTTTTGAACTGGAGAGTTCCTGACAACCGGTGCGAGGTGTTCCTGAATATTTTCCTTGTGGAGCTCCCCAATTGCCTTCTCTTTCTCCTTAGATAAGTCGTGATCAGCGATATTTCGATAAGCTTGCTTAGTAGCGGTAGCACCGGAGCGCAGTGGCCGATTGGGTTTATACATCTCCCGACAGGACTGCCACGAAGGTATGAGAGATATAGTCCTTAGAGGAAAAGCTATAAGATTTAGAAAGGGCAAGTAGGTTATCTTGGCCTTTTGGGCCCGGGGTCGAGTATTTTGGGGATTCCAAGCTGGGGCTTAACGATCCTCTACCTCTTGGGGTACCTGTTATAATACTATTCGGGGTCGAGCTTATATAGGGATTTTAGGAAGTAGTTTATTTAGGGGTAGTAATAGTTATTCTAGTAATTAAAGCTCGGTAGAGGACAGTAAGATCAGATATTATATCTCCAGGAGGAGGGGCTTAATATCTTCTTTGGTATCTCCAGGCCCAGGCCTAAAGAGGATATCCCAGATATCTTTAGAGGTTTAGTAGTGCTAATAATCATCCCCGTAAGAAGTCTCTGAGTCGGTTCGGTTATTAAGGTATCCAGATGAAGGGCCATTAGATCCAACTGATCCCCTGCCCTTAGGTCTGGAGCCTTGACCGGGGTTCTTCTGCGAGCTTGGCTCGGCACATAGGCGTGTAGTGTTGCCCTGGGAGAAGCCCTTGTGGACCGGTGTTGGGTTGAGCTCCCGGCTTGGCTGCTTGGTGAGGCTGCCCATGCCCATGGCGGGAAGAAGATGAAGACAGTGTAGGTGTAGATTGAGATGAGGTGGCAATTGAGATAAATGTAGGCAGTGGTTGGGTGTGAAGGGTTAGATTCAATCTAGGAGAACGGGCGGCGTGACATTCAAATAGTCGAGTGGTAGACAGAGAGAGGACTGAAAGGAGTGCTTCTGAGACGTAATTGGTCTCGTGGGGTTATGGACCATGGCGTTGATGTATGTGCTTGTGTTCAAGTTGATCAAGAGACCCCCCTCCTCGAGCGTGATAGACATATCAAGAGGGGCATTCCTACTTGGAGGGGCCAATGCATCTTCAACTATCGCTCCTGCCAGAAACGCAGATATAATCCATTGTTTACTTGCCCAAGAAGGCTGGGCCAGAAATCTGGAATTTGGCTTGGCTCCGAAGTTGTAGCTGCCTGCCCTGTAACCCCGTGCATCAAGGAGTACGAGGAAGGTTTGCACTTGCCAGTTGAGAGATTTACACCTGACGATCAGTCACCCAGCCTTGCGGGGCAGGTCGTCTGAGCAAAAGCACTTGCGTGAACCACGGCTTTCGATCGTAATTGATCTAGCTCTAATGCACCAGGCAAGTGGCCTTGGCAAGGGCTGCGAGAAGGAAAGAAAAGAAATAACGGCCCAAAGCGCACTCGGAGGCGGAGGAGGGAGGGAGGTGAAGGGTTTAGAAAAAGCAAGCTCGTGGCACACAGATCGACGAGGGGCAGTCCGGCAAAGTAACAAAGATAAGAAGCACACTACACACTTGACTATTAAATTTTCTTAGCTTGTCTGATAAACAATATACTTCTATTAATATGGTATGTTCTACTTGCTTTCAGATGGCGTCAGCGAAACCAATTCTTACTAAGCAGCTGTTATTTATCTGCCTAGATGTTTTGGGGGCGTTATTGTCCCTGTCAAATACCAGAAGTAACGAGGAGCTCTCAGTGGACGTTAGAAACGCTATCAATCGATTAGATCTATGGCCCGAGGTCGAGACACGGCTTAGACGGGGTACATCGTACAGCGGAGGCAGTGATCTGCGAGTAGTCGGTGAACAAAAACTCACGAAATGGTGCTAGGTTCACTCTTCAGTCTGTATCCAGGGCGCAGTTAGACCGTTTTCTGTCACGGGGTTGGTTTGTCCTCAGATTTGGATATCGGCAAATGCCGCGATACTAGGCTCAGGGTCTATGTGGCTACAGCTCGTGATGCCCCTACGATGAACAGCGTGTTAACTCTCTGCTCGGTCAGCTTGAGAGCTGTGTCCGGGATGTGATGAAGTGATGAAGTGATGAAGTGGAAACAGGTTTCTGAGGGTCCGTGTGTATGCCTATCTTTCAATCCACCTGCATCCAACCTTCCATCCCTGCAAAAGTCTTTCCTAAAACGCTAGGAGAGACAAGGAGAAAACAGGAGGGGAGGGTAAGAACCAAGACCTGAGGGTCCTAGTGATTGCCTCTATGAGCACTCCGCAGGAGTGTTGCGGGTGTGTGGTATATGTAAAGTGTCTATTCCTCATGGTGCTGACTGGCTTGGGCCGTGCCCTTTGGTTCCCGCCCTGTCCAGGCTCCAATGGCTAGCTAGCGGGCTCGCGCTTTAGCCCTCGCGAGGATACTTGCTCAAAGAGTAGTGGCCTTTAGACACCGGCATTACAAGTATGATGCGGCGATCCTCGCAGGGCCATCCGCTCGGTGCTATGGAGCGGTCAAGGCCAGGATTGGTCTCGACTAGGTTTGTCGTGTCCCAATCCAGATCAAACCCAACACCCTTGGTTTTAGCCTACAAGCCTCCTCGTGGGTAGTCCGTACCTCGAAGAGAATTCCATCATTGAAGGCGGTAATTCTATTGACTTGGATGATTACGAGGAAATGAGAAAGGCGGCGTTCATGCTGCAAGCTATTCGCCAGGATTTCAGGACGGACTAATCAGTAGGCACGTCGGTCATCTCAGGAGACTAACGCTTCTGGCGAAAGGATTGCTGATCGTGGACTCGACTTGAGAAGCTCGAGCCATAGAGTACCTTGTATTTGTTGTATTTCATGTTGGTGTTGGGCTGATTTCCCAGCACTTTGTAAGATGACCCAGCTTTTTTGACACAGACCTCGCAGGCTTCCGCGGACATCTCTCCTCCGCTTGCCCTGTCATCTGAGCCAGCCCATGTCAGTGCCACGAGCACACGCCGGTGGACTTTGCTGCTCGGAGGCTTGCCACAGCGGCTTGAGCCTCATGAGCAGCAGGATTGAGGCGAGACAGCTCCCAAAAATGGGCACAATCCCGACAATAGCGCCTCTCTTCCACCACTTGGCGACATCAAAGTAGTCCCTGTAGAAGACGGAATTCGCAAAGTCCATATAGCCGGCCAGGGCCGACTTGCATACACAATCGTTGAATACACCACTAATCTGGTTTGTATAAGTATAAAGCCGCATTGGCGCTCGACGTGGAAGATGAGGGCCTTTTCTTACATGGGCGAAAAGGATGAAGATCAGCGACAAAGTCGAGACGACGTTGAGCAGGTGGCAGAATGCCTGTAGCCACAGCCCGGGATGCTTGAACCCCGGCAGGGAGTGGAGGACCCAGGGGAGCGTGCTGAGAAGACCGTACGTCAAGTACGAGCCCGACCAACAGCCCCAGCCAACGGTCGGGGTGTTGTACGCTATCATGGCCGCCATGCCGACATCGACCCAAACCAGGCCGAGCGACACCAGAGATAACAGCCGCCACGATCCCGGTCTGTGCCCCGCCAGCTTCCTCCCGGCTTGCTTGGCAATCTCGTCCGGGGGTCGCATCTGTCTGTCGTCGGAGTGGCTGTCGTATACGCTTAGCAACACGGCATGAGCGAGGCCGCGGTAGCCTATCTCGCGGCCCTGTCCAACAAACTCCAGTATATCGTGGTCGAAGAGAGCGCCTTCCGGCTGTTCGATGTACTCCAATATATAGCTGGCAGCTCCAGACTGCCGTTCGGTGCTCTCACCCCCCTGATCATCGGCTTGTCTCGCTTGTTGCTGGCACACAAATTTTGTAAAAGATTTACACTCATTCTCTTTCTCTTGCGACCACCAGTCAATCTCGCCGGCGTCCTGTGCTTGACTTTGCAATGCCGCCCATCTCTGGACGGCGTCGACATTCCAAAGCCACCGGACGAAGAGTGTCCTACGCATCAAGAGTCAACACAGTCACAGGTCAAAATGCAAGGGAGAGCAACTCCCCGGGGCGGATCGAGCCTCACTTGGTCCGATCAGCTGACACTGGGTTGCGGTCGAGGATCGTAAACAAAACCATCAGTGGCAGCCAGCTAACGAGGATGCCGAGGGCCAGCGAATGCGCGGTTGTCCGCTCGCCGAGATCAGCGAAGGCAAAGACCAACGAGACACCGAAAGCGACAAAGAAGACGAAAATGCTGACCAAGGAGGGGTAGACTCCCCGGCGGCGCAGCATCCGCAGCTGGAAGGCCATCTCCTGGAGGAGCTCCCTGGTTTTCGACTGCGCCGCGGGCGCATCTAGCTCCGTGCCGCCGGACATTAGAGGCCGGAACAGGCCGTAAGTTAAGACCGCCAGGAGCCTGTCGTGCAGGCGGTCGGGTGACCTGAGCTTGAATTGACCGAGAACACTGAGGACGTAGTAGGCGTCCCGCTTCACCTGTTGGAGTTCGTTGTCGCTAGAAATGCCCATGCCTGACGGCAACGTTGCGTGCATACACTTACGAATCTGGTGGATATTGAACAGAGTCGCGGCCAGAGCCGTCTGGGGCGAGCCGAGCCAGTTGAGGAGGGCGGCCAGCGTCTTCGCCAACCTTCCCTCGTGCCAGGGCGCGCCGTCATTTCTGACGTGCTGAGATTCGTAAGGAAGTGCCGCGAGCAAGGCGATGATTGGCAAGACCCAATTGGAAGTGATTCCGAGTGCCAAATTTTTATCTTGATACCAGTACCAATCGATGGGATCTTGACAGAGAACTCGGCAACCTTTTTGTCGCGTCAGTCCCCAAGCGGGGCTCTTCTCCTTTTCCAGCCTGGCAACTGACCTTCTGTAGTGATGGTAACAAATGCGCTGCGATTGAATAGAGAATTCATCCCCATAACAGGCCCGTAGTAGATAAACTGTTCGATCTGTTCTCGTGTAAAACCCTCAGTGTCTGTTCCATTCCAGATCTTCTCAACGCGGGGCTGGCAGACGCTGAAGTTTTGGCTCCGTGTGGGGTGCGAGAGGACGGCAATGGCTAAGAGAGACGACTCGAGGGCGAGGCACCGCATTTTGGACACCTCCCAGGCGACGAGAATGCTGCTCTGCTACAGATGTGTAACGCCGATGTCTTATGGAGCAATTGCTTTGGCTCCGCTCGCCTTTTGGCAGGTTTTCTATTTGTATAAGATCATCTGGACGCCAAGAATAGGGGATGGGGGAGCTGGGCTGAACCGTTGAATGAGTCCAAGCCACGCATTTCGCTTCGAGGGCAGCGCGACCGCCGTCGACGCTAATACGGGAGAGGGAATGAGGATAAGGACTATATACGAAGCTGACGATACGCTAGGGCGGAGGACGTAATTGGTTACAGCAGCTTGCAGGACATGCCACGGGATGGGGTGGCAATGCAGACAGATCTTTGTCCAGCAGGGCTGCTTGGAGTGCCCCGGCGTGCATAAAGTGGCGGATTCGCTGACTGGAAAACTGCTGAGACACACCGGGGCGGCGATGAGTCGCCGTGTGAGGAACGATGCTAGTACAGTTATTGAGCTTATAAGCTCCGTCGGTAGACGGCAATATTATTCGTACGTAATTGACAGTGATCGAACGCACCTCCTCTGTAATGGGCACCAACCAAATCACCATAGGTATGTCTTGCGGATTGGGGTTTATGATCACGTTGGGAAGAGGCTGGGCATGTAGATCGAGTTTGTTCCAGGACCGAGCCTGTTCCGGGGTCAAGTTCATTCCAAGACGCTCACGACCAAATTTGCATATGCAGATTCAAGACCGCGGGTATCCCGGAACCGAGACTGTCCAAGACCAAGTTTGTTCCAATACGCCTGGGTTGCCCGTCAAATGAGAAGACATGGACCTGAAATCTACTTCAGATCTAGGCTTGGTCGTCTGGGACTATGTACTTCCTGCTTTTCAATCGTTGATCTTACCGTTGATTCGTTAAAGGATAAAATTGCATGTTCATGCCTCGCAGCGAAAGCGTTGTCTTTTGGTGCGACACAGGTCCATTTGGTTATAGCCGATTTATACGGTTATTATACGCCGGCGAAATATCCGCAGGAAATCTAGTCGGGAGTAATTCAGAGCCATCACTTTGCCCACATCTTTTTGTCTCATCGTTTGTTTAAACTAGCCCTATCTTTCTTTCTTTGCCTTTCTTAAAGCTCAATTAATCCCACAGCAGTCAACTAAAGACATAGGTAGAAGTGATAATAAGTATACTTTGATACGCTAACTCGCATCAGATGTTAATCGCTATTAGTCCCAATTTTCTGAGCAGAAAAATCAATTATTCGTCCAGACCTAGACACCCACGCTCACGTTTATATTACATATGCCAGCTTCATACAGGGATGGCGACCATCAACGGCTACATACACAGGTAGGCATTAGTTCTTGGCTGTGGTACGTCGGGCTGCGACTTGAAAGGCTCGGCCGTCGACAGGGTGAGATAACTCCATGCACGACCTTGGGCGAAGGCGTTGCACAGCCATCTGCCACAACTGAAGCTGACACCTATCACCAAGGTCCAGAACGGGGTCCCGTCTTTTAGGGCGTCAAAGCGCAAAATTCAGTGTAGGGTGTACGAATTACAGTACAATCTAATCAAATCGTACCCTGTAGGGCAACCAGGCTTTGAAACGAGGCAACGACGCTAATGCTTGTTAGCCATTCAGGCAAGCGCATGATGAGCAATTGTTCAATAGCTGAGCGAGCGAAACAGGTGGCACTGCCAGCTGCTTACTGGGCTCCGAGGAGAAGGACCAGACGAGAATGACGAGCACATGTAGATAGAAGCCTGGTAGTGTCTGTCTTGTAAGCCCTCGTTTGGTTTGGATGTTAATATTTGTCGCCATAATTGCCCTTGTCCGCGAGTCCCACCGCCCCTAGTCTGTCCTCTGTGATGCGACATGTGTGGCAACCTTTCCGTCCTCGCGCCCGTCCCCCTCGTTTTCCCCACGGGAGGGCAATTGAGATTGTGGCAGCAGCAGGGCCGCCAGATCAGACCGACCTCGCTCACGAACCCACGCTGACTTTTACCGCCGCAGTCAACCTCGACTAGAGGTCGAAATTGGGTACTCATGAGTAATTACCTACTATCTATAGGTACCCACTAATACTATATAGGTATCTATGGGAAACTAAAATAGACTATAGATATTATTAGGTATCTAAAAGATAAATAAATTATTTAAATTTAAAAGAAAGAAAAAATAAAAATAATATAGATATTATAATATATATAATAAGTAAGTAAAATAAATAAGTAAGTAAAATAAAGATCTTAACCTTTTTTATAGAAATTACAAAAAAAATACTATAAATTATTTAATTAATTAAAATTACTTATTATACTCTTCTCTAGATATCTTAATTACTACCTAATAGATTCTTATATTATAACTAAACTTACTATAGATACTATAATACTAAATACCTAGTTATACTAACCTTTCTTAACTACTACTTCTTAATAATTTAGCTACTATTTATATATTTATATCTATTTAATTAATTATCTATCTTTTTTTCTTTTTTTTTATTATCTCTTTTTTTTATAATCTAATTTTTTTTTTTTTAATACTAGCTTAATATCATATTTACCTCTTAAAGATTTTTATTTTTAGTAGTTAATAAGATAACTCTATATATAATAGTTTTTATTCTCTTAAAAAGAGATTATAAAGCTTTAAAAATTAACTTTAGTAAGCTATTCTTATATCTTCTTATTTATCTTTTAAGGTATTCTAATTAAAATTTAGCCTTAATTATAATTTTTAAAGTCTTTAAAACTTAAGAAGTTAAGA